TTTTACAGCAACAAGAATAGTAATTGCACTGCTTTTTCCAGTCTCTCATAGCAGATAAAGTTAATGGGGCTTAGTGGTGTAGCCTGGGAACTTCAAAGTTTGCAGAATGTCTCTCCTAGTTCAGGAGAATCTTCTGGGAGGTTTTTGGTTCCTTTGGGAAAATCAGACTGTTTGGGGGAAGAATCACATGGATCCATTACCAGTCCTAAATAAATGGTTTATGAATTATCTCTGAAATTAATTGAGATAATCAGCAGGAAATAGGAGTTTAGGAACAGAATTATTGATTAAAAAGTGCTACATGTAACCTTAACATAGATAACTTCTATTTTGCATTCTCTTGCACTGGAGTTTGTCAATATAGACTTCTGAAAATATTTTAAAGTTTCTTTAGCAGGAGTTGTTTTTATCTTCCCAGTTAGAATGTAAGATTTGTTTAAGGTTGAAACTGATTCGGAATTTTTGTATAATAAGCCTGTATTTAGTTTCTAAGGACCAAAAAGGTCCTTTAGTTCCTTAGTTGGTTTCCTGGGGGATGGAGCGAGCACCTTCTAGGATGGAGGTCAAGGGAGACAGCTGTATCAAGCAGTCCCTGAGCAAGCATCAGCTCTAGAGAGGCGAGGATACATGATGCTATTGGCATCAAAGCGTAATCTAATACCGTATCAGAACTGAACCAGTAGTCAAGTCAGTGGGCAAAGGGTGGAGAGATAAATACCACCAGCAACCAGGGCTAAGTTTGATGGCCCGTGCTGACAATGCCAGACAGCAGGAGGTACAACTGGCAGCCTTGAGTTCCAGTCCAGCTGCTCTCTTAAGTGTGGCCCTAGAGTAGCGACATAAGCATCACAGGAGAATGTGCTGGAAATGCCAATTACAAGGCTCCACCCCAGACTCACAGAATCCGAAACTCTGGGGATGAGGCCTAGTACCTATGTCCCAACAAGTCCTCCAGATAATTCTATGCTTTCTAACACCGAAGGAGCACTTCTCTAGGCCACACCTTTGGAAAATGCTGACAAAATTTTGAGTCCTGTGGATTGTTATTTTCCTTTGAGTCCCAAAGTTGCCTGATGGGTCCAGCCCTTTAAGGGGTCTTCTTGCATTCTGAGAGGTCTCCTTCATATATGATGAACTGAGTCTTCAGGAATTACAGCCTTCTGCATTTTAGTTATATCTAAATGGATTTCAATCTCTTCATGGTGGGTAGGTGGGACATATCTTCCATCCTACTTGGAGTTTACAGTGATCTTCATGTCCCAAAAGCTTCATCAAGTGTTGGTGGGGATGGCAGTAGGAGTCCCTCACTATTGACCCCTGAGAGCTCTGCTTTTCTTGAGCCAGGAATGAGAGGTCAAGCCAACATCTAGATTCTGGCAGAATCTGCTTGATAACTGGAAATTCAACATCTGTTCAACACCATAATAAGAATTAATGCCATAGTGAACATCAGACCTAAGTCTGAGGTCTTCCTGGAGACTAGTTGATCAACAAATGTCTTTGATTCCAACCAGCTCTTGGCAGATAGAAGGATCCTAGAGCTTATTCCAAATCCCCTCCCTTTCTCTCTGACTTGGTCCTGACTTTCCTAACACACAGCTGACCCACACAACTGCAGGAATTATTCTTAGTTCCAGACTATTCTGAATATCCCAGCGGCTAAAGAAGAGTTAAAAAGCTGCAAGGTTGTTAATGTTTTTACAAAAGGAAACTGCCCAGAAAGGACAAGAAAAGCTTCATTTCCTAGCCATTAACCAAAAACCACTTTTCTTAGGACAGCTTGACCTCTAATGTGTTGACTGAACTATCCAGAAAAATAAATGTAGATAAATGATGTCTCCTTTTAGCACTGAGTGCTAGTAAACAAAATTGGAGAGAAGGAATTCCACCAACATATCATCAGAAACTTAACTTATGAGGGGAAATAATTTCCTCTCTTCATTACCAATTAATGAGAATAAGCTTCTGCCCCAGCACTCTTTGAATTACTGTCACTGTGGTAAGGTGGTATGACGGGAACTTAGTGTAATAATACCTTAAGTCTTTGGCAAGGATTTGTAAATCAGAGCTAATAAGTGAATGTGCCTCATTCAAGTTGGGGTGTTGTTCTGTGTTAAACCCTGGGCAAAGATCGAGTGTATTCCTAAAGACAGCACTTTGCTAGGCACTGTGGGGACTCAAAGAGTTCACGTCCTCAGAGTAAAGTCATTTAGGTCATGAACTATACTCATATGGTTACATGAAAACTAGGAGTTACAGCAGCTAGTGGCATCCTTTTTGCATAGGTGAGATCATTCATTTACCGATTTGTTCAAAAGATATTCATTGAGTACCTATTATTTATGCAGCCACTTTGGAGATCTTTTTAAAAGTTTTAAAATTTTATTAGTACATATTTACGGTACATAATGATTACATTCTTTGTGGGGAGCTGGTACGTGTACATGGGAAAAGAAAATATAACCCAGGTTTCTCAGCTTCAGGATACCACGAGGGGCACAAAAATAATTAAAGGTCACACTTTCCAGATTCTTGTCTCTGTAGCATCACCAGGACCATACCCTATGCCCCAGCACTAACCACTAAACTATCAGTTTACATCTAGAAATTTTCAAGGAGTGGTCAACAGGTACCCATAAATAGACTGAGTTAATATTAGACTGGAGCATTTTTCATAGTATTTCACTCAAGGTTTTGTGCACCCCCCCCCACACAGACATACATACCCCGACCAATGATGTACATTACTTGAGGACCTTCAAGTTCTAGTAGCTAGTTTCCCTGTGCAGAAAGCTCAGACCCAGGCCAGAAGGGCTAGCTCATGATGCTCTAAGGCTGCCACCTCTCCAGGCACAGTGTGATGCTGCCTTTCTCAGAAGAGAGGAGAGAACCTCCCAGTTTGTTGTCATGTGTCACCTGCTCTCTGTCCTGTCCCACCGATCCATGCCTTATCTCTTCCCTAATACCATGCTGAGTTATCATAACTTAACAGTAACTCTCACATCAGAAAATGTGAGACCTCCAACTTGGTTCTTTTTCAAAGTGCTCTGGTTATTACAGTTCCTTTATATTTATATGTGCATTTTAGAATCAGCCTGTAAATTTCTGCCTTTTTAAAAGTGTGGTGAGATTTTAATTGGAATTACACTGAACTTACAGATCAACTTGAGGAAAGATGACATTTTAAGAGAAATGAGCTTTCTGATGCATGAGCAAAGTATAATTCTTCAATTCTTTTGGTCTTCTCTGATTAATCAGTGATTTGTAGTTGTCAGCCACAAATCACTGACTCTCTATATAACAGTTTTGTTAGATTTATACCTAAATATCAAATACTTTGATAATATTTTAAATGGTATTTAATATTTTAAAACAATTTCCAATTAGTCATTAGTAATATATAAAAATACAATCAAGTTTTACAAGTTGGTCATGCACATTGTGAAATCATTCGACCTGCTTCTTGTAGCATGTGTATTGCTTGGACTTTTGTCTATGGAAAAATGTGTCATATGTGAATGGAAACAGTTTTATTTCACCTTACAGTCTTTCTCTTTCTTGCTCTGCTGTGCTCTCTGGAATGGCCAGTATGAAGATGAAGAGGAGAAACGGGGCTAAGCATCCTTGACTTGTTCTCAATCTTTGGGGAAGAATTTCGTCTTTCACCATAAATATAATGCTATGTGCAGATCCTTTCTCACCTAAATTGTCAGATCTGTGTATGTAGAGTCCCTCATAGTGCTATCTTATTATCCTTTTGATACCTATGAGAACTGTGGTAACCTTGGTAACCTTGCTTCATTTCTGGTATTTGTAACTTGTATCTTCTCTGTCTTGATTGCCTCCCGCCATGGTAACTGGGTATTGAACCCAGGACCTTCACGCTGAGCTACATCCTCGGCTCTGTTTTTTTTTGGACTCAGGGTTTTGCTAAACTGCTAAATTGCTCAAGCTGGACTCAGATTTGCAGCCCCCCCTGCTTTAGCCTCCCAGAGTGCTGGGATTACAGGTATGTGCCCCCGCATCCATTTAGGATTGCCAAGTTTATCAAAAAGCTTTTTGTTTCATTGGTTGCCTCTTTTTCTCTATTTCTCATTGACTTTTATCCTTATTTTTTATTTCCTCCTTCTATTTTATTCGTGTTTATTTTGTTCTTTTCCTAGGTTTTTGGGGTGGGAAATTGGATCATTGATTTGAGATGTTTCCTCTTTTGTAATGTAAGCCTTTAATGCTATACATTTTTCTCCTAGCACTGCTTTATTTTCTAGCCTACAACTTTTGATATGATATGTTGTATTTTCATTTTCACTCAGTTCGATTATTTTTGATCCCCCTTGACACTTCTTTTGTGACCCATGAATTATTTAGAAGTGTTTAACTTCCAAGAGTTTGGCCCATTTCCACCTGTATTTATTTTACTGATTTTTATGTGATTCAGTTGTGGTCAGGTAACACAGTGTGTGATTTAAATTTTTAAAAATTTGTTAAGATTTGTTTTGGGATTCAGGATATGGTTTAACTGGATCTAAGGACATTGAAAAACATGTATTCTGCTGATGGTTAATGGTGTTGCCGAGTTCTGTATCCCACTGATGATCTGTGTAGCTGTCAGTAGTTAAAAGAGGGATGTGAGTGTCTCCAACCATACTGTAGATTTATGTATTTTTCTTTCAGTTTTGTCTTCACATATTTTGTAGCTATATTGTCTGTGTGCACACGTTTATGGTTGTACATACATTTTTAGGACTGCTAGGACAGTTTCTTACTGGTAAGGCCTTTCTTTGTGTCTGGATATTATCTTTCTCTAAAGTAAACTTTACCAACAATTTTCCTTCACAGAGAATTCCTTGACTATCCCCTTCATTCCTAAAGGATTTCTTTTCTGAATATGTAATTTCTGTTGACAGTCATTTTCTTGAAAGTCAAGGGTTGTGCTATTTCTTCCTGGTCTCTGGAGTCTACTGTTATTCCAACTGATTTGCTCCTGTGTGTAAGGCATTGTTTTACTCTTGCTGCTTTCTTATTTCTTTTGTTTTCAGAAGCTTGAATATGATGTTTCTTTATACGGATTTGTTTGGACTGATCCTGTGCAGGGTTTTTGTTCATCTTCTTGAATTCATAGGCTTATGTATCTTGCAAAATTTAGAAAATTCCCAGACATTATTTCTTCAAGTACTTTTTCAGTCTTTAAAAAAAAAAAGTCTTTCTTTCTGTTTCCAGGACTTCCATGACATGGATATTAGAGCTTTTTGGTGTAGTGCTACAGTTTCCTGAGGAATAGAGGTTGATTCTTTTTTTAGTCTGTGTTCTCTATGTTGTTCAGATGAGGTGATTTTTATTTTTCTGTGCTTGAATCTATTTATTCTTTCTCTATCCTTTCCATTTTATCTCAATGGAGATAATCCACTGAGATTTCTTTGTGTGTGTGTGTGTGTGTGTGTGTGTGTGCATACTGGGGATCAAACTCATGACCTTGTGCTTGCCAGGCAGACATTTATGCCCCTAAGCTAAATCCCCAGCCCCAAGTTATTGAGATTTCAAATTTGTTCATTGCATTTTTCTTTTCTAAAATTTCTTTTTTGTTCTGTATAGCTTCCGGGTTTTTGTTTGTATTTCAACTCCACTTATGTGGAATAGAAGAAAGTAATTTTATTTCAATCTTCTGGAAGCAGAAGTCCATGTTTCTTTCTGTTTTACTCCGAAAAATTTGTACGGGATTGGTATTGTTGCTCCTTTAAACATTTGGTAGATTTTTCCAATGAGGCCATGTAGGCCAGAGTTTTTCTTTGTTGGAAGATTTTTATGTATGTGATTTTTTTTTTGAAGCAGGGTCTCACTATGTAGCCCAGGTTGGCCTTAAACTTGCTTATGCAAACTAGGCTGGCCTTAAACTCATGGCAATCCTCCTGCTTCAGCCTTCTAAGTCCAAGATTATAGGAATGTATCACCATCCCTGACTTGGAAGACTTTTAACTACATTAATATATTTATGATTACTTGGATTGTGTATTTCTCACTAAGTTTTGTGGCTTACGATTTTTCAGGGAATCTATAGTCAAATTTATAGGCATAAATTTTTTTAACCTTCCTGCATGTTAGGGTCTGTAGTGATAGATATTTTTCTTCAGTATTTGGGATTGGACTCAGAGCCTTTACACTGAGCTACATTCCCAGCTTTCAAATTTTTTTCTTTTGAGATGGGGTCTCATTATATCACTAAGTTGTTCAGGTTAGGCTCAGACTTGCAGTCCTCCTGCCTCAGTTTTCCAGGGTGCTAGGGTTACAGGCATGGGCCACCACACCTGGCTCGGTTCCCACCTTTAGTTTGCGCTTTTTTTGTTTTTTTTTTACTCAGTTAGATAGTGAAAGACAAGCATGATATCAGCTAAGAACTTTGGTACCCACTTAACGGACTGGATCTTCTCAATGGGTGGCTCTTTTGCCTTTGAGGGACTGAGGATGCTTCTGCCAGCCCACAGGATTTTGGTGAGTCTGAGAGCTCAGTTCTTATACAAATCCACTTCCATGTCCTATCCTAGGCTGTAGCATCCACTCCTTCCCTCTCAGGGACTTAATCTTAGCATAAGAAACCTATTGAAATTGTTCATGATTAAATCCTGTGCCTAATTATTAGCAGTCTGCCACATGTTGCAGGGAATGTGGGTCTCTTCACATGGTTTCAGGAAAGCTCAGTATTTACTAGTTCACACAGCAAAAGTAAATGTTCCAGTTTCAGAATCATAACTAGTGTTGTTTAGGACCACTTTTGGTACCAGTGGAATTAGTTTGGGCTCCTTTGAAGGCAGTGCCTGAGGTGAGGACTGGAGTGGGCCAAGAAGAATGGTACTGGCAAAGGCCAAGAGCCACAGAAGATTGTTAAGCTATTTCCCATAGTAAGCAGTTGGGCTTTGTCTAATGAGGCCTTTCTTTGGATGAATGCACCTAAGAATTCCTTCCTAAAGAGTGAAAGGCTAAGCATCTATTTACCTACTCTTCCATCATGCATTTCCATGTTGTGAAGGAAGGGTTGCCTGTGAGTGTTTCTCACCTGGGGCATATGGCATGGAACCTAAAAAGCAGGGGGCTATACCTCTACATGGTGAGTTTGGGGTCTGGACGTCATGGCAGTCACACCCACAGCCTTTAATCTACAGTGTGTTTTAACTTTGACTACCATTGTGCCTAGGTTTCTCCTAACCTGATCCTAACTCTGCTGCTATGTTAATTAACCAGGCTTCCTGTAGTGCTGGTTCTCTCCATGTGACGATCCTGCTTTTCTGGGATGTTGGTGACCTGCCTATGGTAAGTGGTGGGAGTCAGAGGAGGAGGCAGAAACTATTCCCAGACACCAGCTGTACAAGTGAGTCAAATAGTGGCTCCAAATAAGATATGTTCAAATGTGAACTCCTAGAATTTGTGAAGGTGACCTTGGGTTTTCATAGATGCAATCAAGTGAAGGATATTGAGGTCTGTTCATGCTGTATTTAGGGTGAGTCCTCAATCCAGTAACTGGTGTCTTTATGAGAGAAAGGAGAGAAATTTGAGATGGGTGAACATAAAGAAGGTCATATATAAAACATAAAAAGAAGGTCATATATAAACAGAACTGGAGCTGGAAGTGATGCTACCTCAAGACCAAGAATTCCTAGAACCACAAAAAAATGGAAGAGGCAAAGAAGGTTTCTGCCTTGGAGACTTCAGACCGAACGTGGCCCTGCTGCACCTTAATTTTGGACTTCTGGCCTCCAGACTATGAGACAATAAATTCATATTGTTTTAAACACTTGCCAATCCAATTATTTAAACACAGAATGACCAAAGATTGCATTTCCTCTTAATATTTATAAGGAAATTACCCTTTTAACAGGAAATTCTCAAATTTATTCAATGCAAATCAACTGGTCGAAATGACATCTGCCTGAGCAATGCTCAAGGTAGTATGTAAACAAATGCGCTGTCTGAGTGATGCTTAGGGCAGACTGTGAAGTGGTTAAGCCACTCAGTTTGTAGTAATGTCTTGTGGCAGGCCTAGGAAACTAGTATGAAAACCACAGAAGAAAATTTCTATGTGAGTCGATCAAGTACTACAAAAATGGAACAGTTGCCCAATTGCTCGATCACCTCTCGGTGCTGGAGGTGGGGGTCACTCCCGTGGCCTGCAGTTGGCCGACCTAATGGGCCTCCTCCTAGACACATCTGGAATTTGCCATGTCTCAGGTCTTTATCTCCATTCAATTCTGCCTTGACTTCAATTGTGTCTCAAGCTTCCATGCAAACCTGAAGTGGTTTAGTTGCCTAGGTCCAGCTGTGTCAGAAGATGGGATACAGTTTCGTTACCCTTCACTTCTCAGACCTTTGGGTGGTTTGCAAACAATGGTCACCAGCTTGATTAAGTGAAACAAAAAAGGCATTCATCAGAAGGAGGTAGGAAAGGCTGCATAATGCGGATGGTGAGGGCAGGCTACATCTCAGGAGACTGGTTATGAGTCCAAACTAAAAGGTAGTGGATTCAGGTTGACCCCATTGAAATGCCTCAGCCCATCCCACCAGAGAAGTCTGACTGTCCAGGCGTGCAGGGCCTTGCTCAGCAGCAAGGGCACAGGAGGTAAAAGGGGACACTTTGCCCACCATGGCACCATTCTGTGATCCTCCTCTTGCACCAGATTCCCTCTCCTCATCACTGTTTTCCCACTCACTTCCTCCCAAGAACCAAGGAGAGCCTCACATCACTTTTTAAAAATATAACTTGAGAGGATACCAGAATCAGCCACAAGCGGTAATTAGACTGTGATCCTTCTGTTTAAGCGCTTCACTTAATCAATTACAATTGCCCATGCTGCCTCCTAATATTGATTCTAGAGTTTCTTGTTCTGAAAATCCTAAAGTACACTCCAGGGATAGTGCCACTACCTCTCTGATTCTCATAGGCACATCAGCGCCCTGTGCCGGAGTAGACCTTTCCATGTGGTTGCGCAAGATCCTTTCTCATCTTAATTGTTTCCTAAGACAGGACAGAATAACAGCTCCTTCCATTACTAATCTGCAACTAAGGGCGAAGGAGCAGCCCAGTTAATGGGGTGTATAGTTGTTCTCAGGTGGGGAGGATGGGGTTGACTGCTCTGGGTGTCCTCTCCTATAGGACACAGGATATGGCCCAGAGATTGTCTGTGAACCTTGGTGAGGATGATAATTGAGGCGAGGTTGGCTAGTCAGACATGAAGCCACCCCATCTGCCCCTAATCATCACAGTGGCAAGAGCAGCTGAGTCCTGGCAAGGGCTCTAAGGAGGCAGAAAGGGCCAGGAGGCTGTCCCAGGACTAGAAATGTGGGCAAGGGAGGAAAGGCTGGAGGTCAGTGATGAGGAGACAAGTTGCAGTGGTCCTCTATCTGGCTACAGATTCAAACAGCCCCATGCCTCAGTCCTGCCCCAGATCTCTTGTATTAGAATAACTGCCAGGGAGTTCTGGGTGTCTGTACTTTTTAAGTTCCCAAGTGACCTTATTGTCCATTGAAGGCTGGCAATCACTGAGTTTAGCAGACTTTTTAGATTGAAAGCCTGGGCTTTGGGGGTATCTGGAATGCTCCCTGAAGTTGTGTCCATGATTTTATAGGGAGAGGAGGACATTGTTTGTATCACTGATACATTGTTTGTATAAGATTCTCAACATGGTTTTACACAGGATGCACAACTGAAGCAGGGTGAACGGGGTCTGCACTGGCACTACGGGCAGAGGTAAACTTTGGTGATTCTGAAGCTGGTGTTCCCTGGAAGAGCTCTTGTCACACTGTGGCCTCTGATGCTCACAGATGCATTCCGAAGCCCCTGTCCTTGAGGAGTTGATCGTCCCATGTGGAAGATGAGGGACACAGGCAGTTGGACTGTGACCTGTTTGGCGTTAGGGACATCAGCATATAAATGCTTTGTGAGAGCAAAGGATGGAGGAAGCTGGCGGCAGGCATGAGCACAGAGCAGCTCTCATGGAGGAGAGGCCATCACCGGGCCTCAGCAGATAGTTTTGCAGGGATGACATCTTTTACTGCTCTGGCTACCCCTGCCTACCTATGGGGCTCATCTGGGAGCAGAAAATTCTAGTTGGGACATAAGATCAATGGAAGGGCCAAAGGAAGGAAAGGCAGGAAAGGTGAGTAGACTGCTGAAGAGAGGGAGCACCCATGCTCGCATCAGAAGCTGGATGGCCTAATATGTAGGGCTAGTGGATTGATCCAAACAAATGATAGGTTAAAAAGGGCAACCTGGTAACACAAACTAGACACACCTGGGTGGAGAGAATAGGTGGGAGGTTATCCCAGGTGCAAAGTGATAGAGATCCTCAGTTAAGGTACATGCATATTAGTAAGATGCTAGTGTCAGAGTTAATGGCCTGGTAATTGTTTAAAGTAGGAAGAGCCAGCAAAATGCTGCCTACCCTGCCATGGATGATCTGCAAGCCTCTTAGTTCTTAGCTCTGTTTCTGGCCAGAGAAGTGCTTGATAGATTCTGAATTACATATGTAAATAACATGGTCAATAATCAGGAAAAAGAGCGAGTTTAAATGTTCTTCAATAGAGAAGCAACTGAATAATCCTTGGTGTAGCCATATTACAGAATATGGTATAGCAGAAAAAAACAATTAGGAAATCATGGAATTGTTTCTAGGCATGTTTTAAAGTGCAAAACCAAGTACCAGCCTGGGGATGTAGCTCCAGGGCACAGCCTTATTTAGCATAGGTGGCATCCTAGGTTTGATCCCACCCCCCAAGCTCCCCAGTGCAGAGAGAAGTTTTACTGGGTAGATCCTTTAAAAATGGCTAACCAATTAAATGTATTCCGTGCCCTTCTTGACTCAAAGAAAGAATTGGATGAGCAAATAAAAAATGGTGCCAAGTTTATTTGAAAAGTGAGGAATGAAGGGATGAAGAAGGGAAAACTGGCTCTCCATAGTGAACTTGGACTGAACAAGACAGAAAAAGAGCAAAAATTTAAATATACCCTGGACTAGAAGACAAGAGGGGGTTACCATGAGAAGTCGCAGTAGTAGGCTCCTTGTGCTACTGATACCCTTATATGTACGTGGAAGCCAAGAAGAAGTTTCACATACAGGTTCTGGGAATTATTGTTGATGTAAATGACAGATCCTGCTTATTTCTTCAACCAGCTTTGCCCTTCTTTCTATTTCAGAATAATACCATTAATATTAATACAGATTTTACATGTGAATGCGTTTAAAAAAATTTAGAAAGATGCACAAGTCATGACTGACAGGGCTTCCTTCTCAGGAAGCAGGGAGCTTGGGACCAGGGGAGGATGTTTATATTTGGCTTTGTTCTATGTTGTTGTTTTTCTTAAAACAACTGACATGTTCCTACATTACTTGCATAATAGAAATGACTTTAAATTTAGCTGTAGAATGAGGGTGTACTCAATTTTGTTGTGTACTTGAAGGGATGGTGGTAGTTAGTTATGCATGGCCAGGAGCAGGATGAGATGAAAACTAATTCCATTCCAGAGATTCTCAACCTCAGTGTGCACCGGAACTACCAAGGAGCAGGTTAGGATGTAGGTTCCAGACCTGACAGTCTGTGCTGAAGTAAGTGTCAGAACGTGCCTCAGCATGGGCATCTGTCTTAGTTACTTTATGCTCGTCGCTGAGACAAAATACCTGATGCCCAAGTTGGGAAAGGAAAGGTTTATTTCTTACAGTTTTGGGAGGTTTCAGTCCACACTCAGTTGGCTCCAAGGCAGGCGGGCATGGCTGGACCGCAGTTCATGGCAGCCGTCGACAGCAAGCTCAAACCAGCAAAGAGCAAGACACACCTTCTTCCTGCCATTACATCACATCCTGGCTCCACCCCCATGTGGGTGGAGCACTGACACCATCAATCCAAGTACTATACAATGAACCATCACAAATGAACAATGCAAACTCATGAGGCCTGGGGGACACAAACATAAACCATGACAGCATCCCAGCCACACTCCCATGTTTCCCATACATGTACTGCCTTGAAGCCCTTCTGTATCAGCTCATAAGACTACCTGTCTTCGTTAGTGCAGTAATCAGGTAGTGTCACCTGCCAGGTGACAGAGCAGGTAGCTTTCCTGCATTTGTGTAGAGCAAGTGGTGGGAGAGGTGGCAGGAGTGCTTTGTGGAGCCACCTTGCTAAGAATGTGCCCCCGTGGGGTGAAACCATGTTTGCTTCATTGGGTTGGATGTTGCTGCTCCTCTGAGGCACTGTCACTTACTGAGGGACAAAAGTACAACTCGGATTTCCCTAGAGAAGTTTCAAAACAAGATCTGAGCTACCCATTCCAAATTCATTTGAATTCTACACAAGTAGGGAAATCTGTCATTAATTAAATATTTAATTCACATTCCTTAATTCTAGAATATTTTAATTCAAATTTATGACAAGGTTGTATCGCTCCCTTTCACATAATAAAGTGTTTGGTTATATTTATGCTCATTTTATAGAATTTAGAGCATAATTTGAGTATTTTAAGTGACTGTAGATATATCCAGTACATATTTGTGTTTATGACATAGTTGATCGAAACTGTAATAAATTTGCCATTGAATCACTGTTGATCAAGCCTGTGGTCACCAGTTATAACCCGTGGCTGTGAGAAACAAAGACTGCTTCACCACCACCATTTTATCATGCATTTCAGGAATCTATTGTGGCACATGGAGGCTCTTTGTTCATTTAGTAGGTGGAGGTAGAGGGTTGACTGTCCCCTTACCTCACATCGCCAGGGTAGTGTCCAAAGCCTTGCCGTTTA